CATTCTTACTTTACAGCATTTTTTCACACCTGCCTAAAACTTTTGCACAGTACTGTAGTTTCAAAAAAGGGAACATATGAAATGCAAAAAGTGATGCTGTGGCCCCCGATACATCCTCTGTTAAAGCACCAGTTTTCTGGGAAACACTGCTTTTCCAGGGGATGACGTGCCTAGTGATGACAGCATGAAGTTGCAAACTGGAAAGTAGATGGTACTGCTTAAGGGGTGAGAAGAAAAGAGAACTTGTAAAAGGAGAGATGTCATAACTCCAGAAATAGGGCAGGATCATATAACAGTTCACTTCCTGATCGGTTTTTTTTTCTCTTTTTGGGTAACCTTCACCATACTACTGGCAGTTCTCCGGGCCCAGCTGTTGGCCATAGAGAAGTCTGGGACATGGTGGCAATTTACAGCTTCAGTCCTCACTGTCTACCGCCAGCGTCACGTGCCTATTCGTCGGGGAGAGCAGCCACTCTGGGTACCAGAACAAGATTTGGCGTGCCGGTGCCTCCACCTCCAAGTGGGCAAATCCTATCTCATCATCGGCAACGATGACGAGTCCCCTGACCCTGCCCGGCTAATCCTTGACAAAAACAGCTTGGCCCTGCCCTGGAGGGATGCTTGGGCACATAAATTGCGGAGTTTCCAGCAACAAAGCAGGCGTGGAAAATGCTGAGGCATCTGAGCCAGAGAGGTAGTGGGAAACTGGGCTGAAGAAACAGGTAGGAAATGGACCGAATGGGTAGAAAATCCCTAGTTTTACACACCCAAACTGAGTTTCAAAGCCCAACAGAAACACCCTTGGGTATAAAAAGCTGAGCCTAAACTGGAACTGATCACATTTTGATTTTAAAGTTTTAGTTCTGCACATTGATGACCCTTTGTTCATCCTTCTGACAGACCTATAGGATGAGAGTATTATCCCCCCTTTGCAAGACGGAGGAACTCAGCTGAACTAGAAACATGATTTTGGATGCATTAGTGGAAAATATTTGGGTATGAGAAGCTGCCTAACCTGGCTGTAAGCTATGGAACAAAGACCTCCAGAGGGTTCTTCCTTATGACTAGGTGAAAGCTCCATCCACCAGCTTCTGAGCCAGCAAAAGACTTTTCCAGCAGAACATTTGCTACCCCTCACTAGCAAACCTGATCTTGCCACAGGGACAATGCCAGCAAATAGTACTGTCTTTATTTACCATCTACGGGGATAGAGATTGGAGAAGTCCCCTGGCTTTGTTTTCCTTCTCTCCCCTCCCATCAGCCAGCGGGAAGATATTCATCAATCGCTCTCCTTAAGGTAGGATAAGGCTGGGGTAGAGGTGAAGTTGAGTTTTAACAAGATGCCTAAAACATAGCCTTAGTCATCTGTCAAAACCCAATATTTGGGGGCAAGTGTTTTTCACAGCTGCATTCAGAGGGAACCCCACTATCAACTGAGATCAGCTGAAAGTCAGATTTCTTTTGGTCATGAGTTTGGCGCTCTTCAAGGGTGATGTCTAAATTAGTCAACAAGCAGTTCTGACAAAAACTACTCCTGCGAGCCCTTGAAAACAAAAAATATCAAAGTAGTTAATAATTGAAATGTACCGTGTCTTTTAAAAAGCTGTATTATGTCAAAAGATATTTTAAACATGGCAAGTTAGTACAATGCCAGTAAAAGAGAAGTTCTCAGACATTGTGGTGTCAAGAACCACTAAAATTTCAAATAGGTCTGACCTTTCCCATCACTTTGATATCATACATTCAGGAATCTGCTCTAAATAATACAATTTAACTAAAGCTAAATTGAAACCCTTGAGAAATGCAGTGGTTTTAGAATGTAAGACTGACAGAAAAATGTTCCATATAAAGAATTCCCTTTGAGCTGGATGGCATTTCTTGATAATAAAAGGTTAGAAAATTTGTCCTGGTTGCTTGATTCAAAGAACTGAAGTCATAACAAGAAACAGCTTGATATCCCTCTTGAGTGCAGCTGGTGAAGGTGTGAGTGCTTAGAATTTTTTCTTATTTAACTCACTTCCTTTTTAGTATTGCTGATATAGTACACAGATCATTAAGACAATTTTAAAAGCTTTACAGTTAAGCAGTATCCACCGCAAACCTAACTCACTGGGTCACTCGTCTACTTAGAATGGGGTTGATGTAACAAAATTTTGTGCCCCGAATCCTACTGAGCTAAATAGGTGTACGGACACATGAACATTTGGGAGAAATTTTTCTTCATAAATAACGATTATGAACATCAGGTTCTATTAAAATGGATTCAATAGACATTAAATGCTTCATTAGATGCTTAGGTCCCAACGTTTCCAGGTCAGTTAAGCAAAGCGAAAACCTCACATTTTTCCTACTCTGCCTGGACAACCTGGCTGTCCAGAAAACCTAGAGGGTGAATTTGTCAAGAATGGGGCTTTGCCTGTGCGTGGATCAGATGCACTCTTGCATGGACAAGAGCAGGAAAACACGTTGGGGGCTCTAAAACCTGTATGTCAAAGCATCCTGAACAGGTGACAAAAGTGGGGAGAGGGGCACCCCGAAGCAGTAGAGACTCCACTCTTTCTCTCCTATTTCTCCATGCAGCATTCTCTTCCCCCATACCACCACCTAATTCTCCAAGTCAGGGAACAGTCCATACACCTGATGGTCCTGGGAGGCTCTGCCCAGCAAGGACCAGAGGGGACCCTCTTAAAGTGGCCAAGAGGTGCCAGGCTGATCCCAACCCTAGGGGTTCCCTGTCACACTGATGGAATGGTTGAGGAAGAGCCTCACCTGAAAATGAACGTGGGTTGCTGCATTTTAAAGGGGAAATACTACTTTAACACCCGTACAGCTAAAACCAATTTATGGCTGCTAGGGATCAGACAAAGGCAACATCAACAAGGTATAACAGAAGAAAGAAGCTGCTGAGGCATGTTTGCAAGTGAGGGATGCCTCTGAGTTAAGCTGGTTTAGTCCCCCCAAAAAACCAAGCAGTTTTTGAGCAGGGGAAGTAGATACACTGGAGGATAAGGTGATTGGCAGCTACTAGTATCATGCTGGATACACACAGACACAGATACACAGTCCCAATATCAAAGGCATGCTTGGGACACAACCAAAAACTACTGTGGCCCTTTTGTCCTGCTGATGAACATCCCGTAGGTTGGTTGGTTGGCTGGTTGGCCAGTGAGGGACTGGACAGGCCCCTGATCTGAACCAGCATGATGCTTCATTTTTTCTTACATTATCAGTCTGGGAAAGGATGTCTTCCTTGCTGCTACAACAAACCATGTGCCAAATGAGATGATGTGGAACTGGCTTCAACCTAGGATAGTCTTCCTGACGTTTGGAGATTGACATGAAAAATATATTCAGAATCATTGTGTTGTTCTTGTTGAATGTGGAGGGTGCAAAGGAAGAAAGAAAAGTGTGGACATAATGTGGACCATCAATAAAAATTCAGAGAAAATGTATGTGTTAGTAGGGAGGTGAGGGTGGGCCTGGAGAGCATTGCTCAATAATTAGTTGCTTCAGGAGACAACAGCCTTTGGATCCTAGAGTTACTTAGAAAACATTAGGGACAGAAACATTTACTGAGTTTGCATTTTAATTTAATTTACCTAATCTGCAATTTCAAATTAATGTGCAAACAGTCACTCACACCTTTTTGTAAATTTTGTAATGTTCTATCTGAAAGCAGCATACAAAAATGTGCCTGTTTGTAAAAACACACACACAGAAGCATATTTGGGGAAATAATATGCAAACTCCATTTTTACAAGGGGAAACGGTTTACTAAAATGTATCCAAAAATGTGCATCATTTTGTATTGACTTCTGAGAGAAGAAATCACAAAGATGCAGAAACTGAGAAAAATAAACATATGACTGAAAAAAAAAGAATTAGAGTGAAACCAGAACTGACAGGTATATTCAAAAGATAGGACTACAGAGGGAAGAAGCAAGATATTCCTATATTCCAAGTGCAATTTCTATCTCAGGATGCAATCTAATACCCAATTACCAGGAACAAACCCCCATTAAACTCAGTGATATATATAGGAGGTATAGGAATAAGGCATGGAAAAGGTTGTCCTCTTTATTCAGACCAAGAATTGTTTTTTGTTAAATTAACTTTCAGAGCTGTTTCTCTTATAAAACATGGGCTCGTGATTTCTGTCCAAAAGGTTCAACTTCCATGCAATGATAAAATGTGATAATTTTAATGTTAGGGCTCAGCAGCCTGATAGAGACAAAGGAGACTTTAAGGCTTTTCTTCACAGCCTCATTAATGTGTATTCCTCCAGTGTGCAGAAAAATATGCCAGCGTAATTTGCATTACCCTGATGGCCAAGTTCTAAATCGCCCTCGGTAACGAGGCTTGCAAGTGATCTATCCATACAGCTTTGCTGCAGGACAATTTAAGGGCAACCATTGGTAGATTCCCCTGGCTGTGCTTCCCTTCCACCCTGCATTAGTTGCCAGGGGAAAAGCACCATCAACACTCTTCATATGAGGGGGCAGGCCTCAGTGAGACTGAGTGGGTACCTGGGGTGGAAGCTCTAGGCCACCCTTCAAGTGGTCCAAGTGACAGGAGGTGCACTATGTCAATAACCAGTCATTCAGATTATTGCTGTTTCTGAATACAGGTCTATCAGTTTTCTGAAAACCCAAAGGAGTGGGGAACCTGTCTTACATGTCTTCCGGAAGATTAGTAAATCTCTGCCAAAAATAGTCCAGGAAGGGTGTGGGGTGAAGCTCCTGGCCATCTCCCAGCCCACGAACTTGTCAGCTGGGCTCCTTTTGGACAAAGATGTATCAGTTTTTCCAAAAGACAGGTCAGATGTTTCGCAGCAGATGCTCCCATGGAAACCAAGTATCTGGTGTCTTCTGCAGCCCAGGCTAAAATGGCCATGGGAAGCAATGACCACAACAAGCTCACAACAGCCTCACAACTAGCCAATAGAAGCTCAGCAGATATCAGCTCCTGACTGTTTCCTCAACAAGATTGTGAATGGGACACTGTAGAACAATCCTACAACAACCCATGTTGAGAGGATGGAAAACACTACATTAAAACTGGAACATCTAAGGATATATTTAAGCTACCTCCACGGTGGTGATGAGACAACAGTCCTCTAAGAACAGCGGGGCATCTTGGTGCTGCAGTTAGTGGGACCTGCAGATCAACCCTTAGATGGCTATTGCTGGATAGCGCAGTTGTAGGTCAGATATCAAAGAAGGTGAACACTAAGAAAGATGTCCATGATGTTTACAATTAATAAAGATGTAGTAATATGGTTCCTATACTTATAGCATTGAAGAGTCACCCCCTCCGTGCACCACGGGTGAATCTGGGTTGCAGTGAGGCGGGTAGTCCGTGGATATGACTCACAAAGGGGTTGCTTTTGTTGGGCAAGTTTTAGATCCCTTCAACCTCCCTCTCCCCCTACCCCACTCTTGGAGTTGCTTAGTTTAGGCATCAGCAAGGGAAGATTACATATTAGTGAGGATTAAGTGTCTGGCAGGTATTGGATTCCAACCAAGACAAAATAGGGAAATAATGATCTAATTGGGGTTAGAGCTGGAAGTTTGTTATGTCACAGCTCACGACAGTAAATACGAAGAGCTAGTTTGTCCAAGCAGATTCTTTTCCAGGTGTTAATTTTAAAAAAATGCCATGTTGTAATTTTAATTAGGAAGTACCTCATTACAGTGAGAATAAGGATTATTTGTTAGAGGAGAGAACATATATATAGAGAAAAAATGCAATGTATAACCAGGTATATTCCCAGCAGCCAACTCCTGATCTAAAATATTTTTAAAATAAGAAGAACATTGATCTGGAAGGCCCCAGTTCAAATGCTATTGAACCACCTGTTGCCTTTGGGCCCCCAAATTAATGGGCCCCACGCCCTCACTTTGAATTCCTGGTGGCCAGTGAGAACCAATCCAGTTTGTATTTGTACAAATAGGGTCAGACTCTCATCGTTCCCATCTGATGTTTAAATCAGCATCACCATCTGGTGGACAGTTGAGATAGCTATTACTATTTCATTTGTAACGGCTTTTTTTAACACCCACAATACAGGCAGATAACCCTGATAAAGATATAACAAACATCTTGTAGGAAAAAAAAAAAAAAAAGAGTCATGGAAAAACGAAACAGAACTTTTGGTTTTTATTTATTCCATGGTTCTAAAAAATCTCTGCATGAAGAAAAACAGCATGTGAAGGAAAAACTAAACAGGACTCTTTTTCCAGACATTTTTTTTTTTCTTGCTGCTTGTGAAACAACTCTCAGACATGGAAGCCACTACCTGGGATTTCATAGTTCAGGAAAAACTCTACCGTTCTGTCTTCTGCTGTCTTCACACACAGGCCCTCTGGCTATGTTAGAGACTTAAGGGCACAAGGCATGAACCCACCCAGAAATCCAAAACATTGCAGAGACTTGGGATTCCTATACTGTAGTTAACAGGAGTAGAGCCTTTAATATTCTAGTTCACAAAGATTGGCATTTTTGGATTGCAGCATTCCCCCCACCCAAAACCTCAAGTTGCCTGGTGGTTTCCACACTAGAATTCATCCCAAGGAAATTTGATCTCTAGACCATTCATATTTTCCTGGTAAAGGTGATGGAAAGCAGCACTCTGTTCTGCAGTAAAGTGAGTTTTCCAGTCCCCAGAAATCCCTACAAAGAAAGGGAAGGAAAAAGGTGAGATACAGATAGTCCTCGCTTAACGACAATAGGGACTGGAAAATTGGTCATTAAGCAGGGAGGTTGTTAAGCAAGTCACCACGTGACTAGACCCGAATGTATGACCTTTTTTATGATAGTCGTTAAGCAAATCACATGGTCATTAAATGAATCGCATGGTTGTTAAGTGAATCCAGCTACCCCAATGGACATTTTTTGCTGGAATTCACTTAATGACCATGTGATTCACTTAACTACTGTTGTAAAAAAGCTTGCAAATCGCGATCATGTGAATGCAGGGGGTGGTGTGATGGTTTGCAATGGTCGTAAGTGCAAGTACAGGTCGCAAAGCACTTTTTCTGAGGTCGTCATCACTTTGAACTGTCATTAGTTGTTAAGCGAGGACTACCTGTACTATGTTTTATACTGCACCAACTTTTGGAAGTTCACTGAATTGTAGATTTTCTTAAAGCTTTCTGGTTTTTACCTTTCCTGAGGAAGGTGCTGATCTTTTGATCCATCACATCTTCAGGAACCAGGCTGTAATTCACCATTTTGTTGTCTTTCATCACCCCAAAGGAAGCATTTTCTACCACTGACTCAACCGCAGCAGGATCCAAATTCTTGCCTAGGAATTCACAGATGCGAAGAACACTGCCACGCAGATCCTAAATACAGAATATCATGAGGAAGAGCTAGACCTCTAAGCCAGGACCCCTAGGACAGAGTGACTCCTGAATTGGAGCAGGACAACAAGGAATGAAAATGAACGAAAGAATGAATGAATGAATGAATGAATGAATGAATGAATGAATGAAAGATAGATAGATAGATAGATAGATAGATAGATAGATAGATAGATAGATGATAGATGATAGATGTTTAAATAGTCATCTACCTTTAGCATTTCATCATAGACCAGAAGGAGAAACTTTTTCTCATTCTTGTAGGCCAACCAGCTTTTAACATGATCAAACCAGGAGCCAAAGAGAACTGGGGTAAACAAATAGAGAGGAAAACATTTTTTTTTGTTTTTAACTACATAGAAGATTTTAAGATGGTAGGCAAAACAACCCTGAAATTGGAAACCTATGTGCGCTTACTTAACAGTGAATCCCACTGACTTCAGCAAATCTGGCTTTTAGGTAAACGTTCATAGCAAAAGGAGGGAGCTACTACCCTCCAGATGTTTTGGATTAAAATTCCCACAATCCCTTGCCATAGGCCATGCTGACTAAGGCAACGGGAACCAAAATCCAAGACATCTGGGGGAAGGACCATGTTTGTTTATTTATTTTTTATTTATGCATTTCTATAGCCACCCATCTCAATCCAAGTGACTTTGGGTGGCAAACAATTTCAATAACTAAAACCGTTAGAGTAATTACAAATTATACATATAGGCAGCTGACAGTTATCACAAAAATTACATAAAAATCAACAGTACAACCCGGTAAGAGGGCCCTTAACAGTTTCGGGACCCCAGGCTCAGGCACATAGCTGGTTTTTAAAGCTTTATGAAAGGCTACCGGGGTCGGGGCCATCCTGAGCAACAAAGGAAGAATGGTCCTAAGGGCAGGGGCTGCTGCTGAGAAGGCCCACCCTCTGGTCCCTGCCAGCCGACATTCCTTGGCTGACGGGATCCGCAGCATCCCCAATCTACTAGACCAAATTGGACTGGCAGAAACTATTGGAGGAAGACAGTCCCTTAGGTAACCCGTTCCCAAGCCATGCAGGGCTTTAAAGGTGACAACCAGCACCTTGAACTGCACTTGGAAGCATACCGGTAACCAATACAGCTCCCGTAGTAGTGGTATTACATGTGTCACCTATCTGGCACCATCTACTACCCATGCAGCCGTATTTTGTACCAGCTGAAGCTTCTGAATACTCTTCAAGGGCAGCCCCATGTAGAGCGTGTTGCAGTAATCCAACATTACCTACTCTTGTCTGACAACTGTTCTATCAACTTTGTCACTGAAGACTACCATTTCAGCCACAGGGAAGAATGCTAAAGAGACAGCAAGGAGCCAAAAGTTCATCTGATGGAATCCATTTGTTATCATTTAACAGACAAAACAGATTGTTAGTGCAGACTTGACATCAACAGACACTTAGCACACAGGGGGACTCTACAAAGGACAGGTATTTTGCTTCATCAGAGGGCATAATTTAATTGGTTCCAGGTCAGGCAAAGCATGACCCAAAGAACTGAGAGAGGAACAATCAGATTTACCAATTGCATCTTATACATGCCAGAGGCCAATGCTGTGAGTTATGAGGAAAACCAGTCCATTTTATGTCAAAAATAGCATAAGCAACTCATGTTTCATTATATGAAAAATGAAGACAGTAAAGGAGTTATAATGAAGGGGCTAAGATGAGCAAGATTTTGGTGGCTGAGGCTGGGCCTACTGAGGATTTCAGAGGGCAAAATGATGATACAGAGCGGGCAGGACCCAGATGGCCATAGTCAAAATGGCCCGTTTCTCTCTGGATCTGGGGTTGATTTCTTAGCATTTTTAAACCAAGTCAAATTATTTTAGGACTTAGTCTACATTTCTCAAGTACTTCCTACCTCAACATGCAGGGAAATAGCACCATCAATTTGGGGCAATTGCATCTGGGGGTGGCTTCAGGGGTTCCAGATCAACCTGGGACCTTGGCTGTCCATCCAAGACAGACTTGCTCAAATAGTAGATGTGAAGGGGCAACATGGATCATCAAGTACAATAAAAGAAGGGAGAAGATGGTAGTCAATGAGCAGCCTCTGACACTGACACTTTCTACGAGGGATTCCACTGCCTCCTGTGAAAAAATCATGAGACTAAATTTCCAGCCTCTGCCCACGTACTTTTCCCTGTTGAAAATAGCTCAATGAATTCTCCAAAATCCTCTCTATACTCCAGAAATGAAGACATCTTGGCATAATGGTAGAGCGATACGCAGACATCCTTGGGGTCACGGACCGTGTAAATAGCCTGGAAGAGAAAGTTTCCAAGGGTTGGAAGGGCTTTACCTCAATGGTTCTTCCCATACTTCCTTCCCAAGGTGCAATTTGGTGGGGCCAGGAGGAAATGTCAACCTCTCTCTCCAGTTATTGGAATGCCCCACATCTAGCTGCTGGCTGATTTCTTAGCAGTGATAATGGAAGCACACTTTCTGACACACAAGGTAAGATCATGCTAACCCATAATGTGTTTCCTCTGATTTTGACTTAGTGTGTTAGCCATCATGGTTGCACACTCCAGCTTACCATGTTGAATTATTCAAGACACAACTGAATTCATAGTTAAACAAACCATGGCTTAATATGAGGAACCAATATTTTCTCTATATATTCACCCACAAGAGATATGTACAAATGGAATCACCTTAGCCTGCGAAGAGAAGAAGGTTTCTGGAAAGATGGTTGCAGGCAAATGAGAGCTTATGAGCCGAGGGCAGGGTCGATTCTCCAAGTATTGGGTTGCTGACTTCTGTTCAACCCAGGGTACCCGTTCCCAAGAAGGGACTGATTGTGAGAATGTGGGATCTCCATTGCTATAGATCAAAGTAAGAATTTCTTGCATCCAAGTTGTTCCTGGAAAAAGGACAAGATGGACATATACTTCAACCTTACCCTGAGTCTGCAGGGAGTCTTTGAAGGTATCTACCAAATTTTTTTGTAGGAGGAGTGCAGAAAATTGCCCTAGGTCTAGGATTTGAAATGATCCAGTGGATCCATACTTAAAAGGAGTAGCACTAATCAGTAAATAAAATCCTGACTTCAGAATTTTGGGTTTCCCCACATGTATGTACCTCTATTAACTAAGCAACTAGTTTCGGTGGACAAAAAATATGGAGGATGGATGGACAGATGGACAGAAGATACAATGTCCTGCAGAGGGTTCAAGTGGATATTCTGATCCTGGGTGCCTCAACCCTGTCACCAATGGAGAGAACTGCAAACAGTTCAGACATACATCCAGGATCATTTTTTATTTTCCAACAAGGCATCTGTGTCTGTAAGATTCTGATTCCATGCCTTTCAAAAACTGCTGGCTTTTGTAATTTTTCTGGAAAAGTTCCACCTGTTACAGTTTTATCTGTCAATGTGGCCGTTAAACTTTAAAAGGTGCCTTGGCATATACTCTAGAGAAAAAAATAAGGCAAAGCAAAACTTGAAGAGATAAACTCATATATTTTCTTAGCCCCCCAAACTCCAGGGAAGCAGGGGATGGGCACTTGTGGAGCTCACCAGATTTGGGATACGTGAGGTTGAAGACATCACTATCACGCACTTGGAAACACCGGTGAGCATAGCGAACGCTCTCATCGCTGTGCACAATGCTGGGAAGAGTTATTCCACCATACTGAATGGACTCGGCGTTCCGTTTGATCATTGTTCTTCTTCTCTGGAGGGAGGAAAGAGACACAAAGGAGATAAAAACAGGAGCACGGATGTGCTTCCAACTTTCCAGGGCTGGAAAGGAGGGAACTCTCAAATGGAATTAAGGGGGAAGAAGAAGAATGTGATTTCATACTTTTTCTTCCTTGCTCTTTCAAAATCTACCTTTTGCCTTCCTGCTTCCCCAACCCCACCAAACCTGTTGTATTCTTCTCCCTGTCTTCCAGCCTCCTTTTCTGTCACTTCTCTCCTGACTTTTTTGGCACAGACTGTGCACAGAGAAAACCCTGGCTTTTATTTACAGAAATTCACAAAAGGAGGCTTTGTTCTTTGAAGAGCAAAGAGAGTCAGCACAGTGAAATTAAGGTCACATATTTATGTTCACAATTCTCTCTGCTCTCCCCCACAGAGACATGATGATGATGATGATGATGATGATGATGATGATGATGATGATAATAATAATAATAATAAGGAGGAGGAGGAGGAGGAGGAGGAGGAAGATCATCGTCATCATCCAGACTCAGAAAAAATCTGCTACTACTACCACCAGTCTATAACATCATTCCACATTTTGTTTTCCCACCAATGCAGTTATTGGAAAAGAATGTTGTTTTTTTCACTCAGAATTATTATTATGTTTCCCAATCCTGAAACGGAAAACAATGCATTCATCAGCCTCGGCCTGTTGAGAAAAGGCCCTGTCTCCATGCCAGCCAAGCTCTGCTTTTCAAAAGAATCCAAGCATTTGACTCTCTCCCTCTACTATTCCGTTTTAATTCTCTGGTAACTACTAGAGAGCCCAGGACTCTCACTGAAGCTCAACCTCCAGATGGACAGCTTTCTTCCATTCAAGGATCCTGTGCTGTTCATTTATAGCAGAAGTGGGCCACCTGCAGCCCTCCAGATGCTGTTGGACAAGTCCCATTATCTCCCCCTGATGGCTAAGGCTGATGGAAACTGGAATACAGCATCATCCAGAAAGCTGTGTGTTGTTCATCTCCCATCTAAAGAAGTACCATCTTTTCTCCTGAAAAGAGGGCCATTAACAGATACAACATGCAGAAGTTCAGCAAACGAGGCTTTGAGGCTCTTAGGGCATAGAAAGGCTACATAGGTATCCCTTTCTTATCAGACAACCCAAATCACTGCAGTCAGGTTGTGGATCTAAATTACCGATCCATCCACATCCTTATGGCCCATCTTTTAACTCACAGACATATTCTCTAACAAGAAAAGCCAAGTGTTCAGCTCCACCCACCACCATCAAGGTTGGCAAACAAACTGACCAATCAATTTTAAATGTGTCTTTTTAATAACAGTAGAAGGAGGGAGATATCCAAGAGCAGGAGATAGCCTCATCTCTTGAGAAGATGTTAAAGGCATAGGATCCGTGACAAGTAAACAAACTGGCAAGCTAAATGTAACCTGCTGAAAACTTCCGGAAAAATCCAAACCTCCTGTTTCTGTCTTCTTCTCACTTGTAACCTGTAAAGTGCCAACCAATCAAATCAGAACTGGAAGACTTTGTTCATCCTCAGCTGAAGCATCTCACCATAGCTGAGCTTGCCACCAACCAAGGTGGTAGATTCCATAGCCAAACCATTTTTATGGTGAGGAAATTCTTCCATTTAACTAAAATCTGCTTCCCTGCATTTTACCCCCCGTTCTTGTCCTGCCTTCTGGAACAGAGAGCAACTGTTCCACCTTTGCCATCACAAAGGGCTATCTTTGCCCTTCTTTCTGGCTCGTAAAAGCTGCAGGGATGTGGTGCTAAGGCAGTGAAGGTCAGGATGGGGTCAAAAAAAAGTTGGCCCCTTTAGGCAGGTGCTGGTTGTCTGCTGGGTCTGCAGGTGGCCTGTGAGCCATTGGCTGCCCATTTCTGTCCTGTGGACTAACCTTGAAGCTATCTGAAGATTTTTTACATATCTCACCTTCTGCTTCTCCGTGTTCTTTTCTCTAACATAAGCATACCTGTTATATCTTCTTTTGAGGTCATTTTTCCTTCCCACCACCCACTCTCTGCTGGTCCTTGTCCAGTTTATCAAAACCCTTCTTATCATGGGACCCTTGAGCAGCCCAGGACCAAGAAGAACAACTTCTCATGATCTGGACTCAGTGCTTTTGCTGATGTCGCCTGATTGCAATAACTTGATTAGCAGCTGAAGCGCATTGTTGGCTCTTGTTTAGCTTGCAATCTACTAAGATGCTCAAATCCTTCCCACTTGTACAGCAGCCAAGCCAGTTTTCCCTCTTCAGTACTTCTGCCCTTTTTAAAAAAAACCTAAATACAGGATTTTTCATTTTCCTACAAATATCCTTGATTTATACATGCAGTAAAATGCAGCTGGGAGTGAGCTGGTAGACTAATGAGAGAGTTAAAAAAAAACCCCACCACTCCCCTTCACTCTGCAGGGGTTTTATGTTTATTTGGTTTGGTTTGGATTCCTGTTAATGCCTCTCAAGTAAAGTTGCCTTCCAGTAAAAGTCTAGCAGGCCCATCTAGTGCCATTTTCTGAATCAGTTGATATGATTCCTCACAGGGAATGTATCTTGTTTGGGAATAGGATAATCAGGAGCCTGTCTGCTAACCACCAAATCCCCCCCGCCCCGAGACTCCTTTGCAACATTTCAGAGATGTTACCCAGGATCAATCATAACTAACCCAGTTTAGAAGGAACACGTGAAAATCTGAACTAATGGCATGGACCTATAAAGAACAGGATGATATATAGCTACCTAAAAATATAAGGAACATTAAGCTTTGAAGATTTATTGGACGGGATATTTCTGGACTTCGCAGCATGCTGAGGCTTGTATGTTCTCCTAGCTGCTGGCAGGTACGATCAGGTGTCTTCCATGCGATTTCGGCACTGTCTGGCCAGCCTGGGGTAAGTACTTCTTACTAATTTTCCCCAGCCTATCATCTTCCAGATATGTAGACCATGTAAAAGTTCCATATGACTGAACTTTTGCTACAGAGCATATCCAGAAATGGCCCCACCATATTTATCCTGGACATGTCTGTACAGCAAAGCAGATTTCACACATTCAGCTATGTGACACCAAATGTCAACTAAGAGGCGCTCAAACACTAAACGATACTCACTTACATGTGAATCAGATATGACTAGGGTAGGTACGGCTACACGAATCCAACCAGCTAGCTTTTCTTTCCCTCCATTTAGGCAACACCACTAGGCCATTATATAACTTGTTTGAGCTGGCTTCGTGTGTTGAGTGCACTCAGAAATTATAGTTCATACATCATGGTTTCCAAACTCAGTAGCAGTTCAAGCAATCAACTCTGATTCAAAATCACTCTCTCTCTCCTGCTTTATCCACCTCTGCCGGAGAAAGTATGAATTCTGTCGCATTTGCTCAGAGACTTAACTCCACCACCACAAAGCTGCAATATGCAGAAATTCAACAGGTGAATTTGCTTCTTTCTTATCTTTCCCCCTTTCTAGACAGGAAAACTTGAACTGCCTGACATTCTGCTTATTGGACAGCTCCAAAGACGCAGTAACACTGCCGGGAAAACCCTTCTTTTCACTTCATCCTTACGTGCGCACAATTTCCAATAAAACTGAGTTTTGTCTCCTATACAAACGGCTCCTGCTGTCATAAGTGCCCGGGGGTCTCCGTCTCCCCCCGCCCCCATCCACTCCATTTTAGCTCCAGACACACTTCTGTTCTCAAAAGAAAACCCGATTTTTCTGGCACGGCTTTTTCTCAACCCGCCTTTGCAGTCTCTCACTAATAAACCCCGACCCCTCCCCTAGACCGCCGCGAAGCCGAAATCGGTGGCTCTCTGCCCTTCCTTTTTCATAACCTACTAAATTTCACTTCATTCCCACCGGACTCGGGCGTCCTGATTTTGCGATAACCAATCCAAGGTGGCCTGCTCTGGGCGGGACTTCCCTTCGCATACGTTTCTCAAGCTTTGCCTCCTAACCGGGGATCTTTTTTTTTAAGGTGGCGAAATCCTCCTAGACACGTCCTGCTCTTTGGCTGGCCAGCGGCAGGTCTCCGATGCCCCTACCCAGCAGCCCTCGCGGCCAGATGGTCCGAGAGCCAGAAGAGTCCAGCCGTTCTGAAGGCGATCTCAGAAGTCAAACTTTTTCGCAAGGTGGGAAATTCAACCCCTGCAGGATTCCCTCTCTCTGAGTCCTACAGTCACCACCTGACCTCTAAGACTCTTATCACGCAGTCGGATGCCCACCATAACCTATTGTAGCAACCTCGAAAGGCCGGGGATTCCTAAAGGATGACTTCTTGCCAAAGCCATGCTAGTCTGGTTCGTGGGTAACATTGAGGTAATTTTTATAGTAACAAAGTGTAGCTGGTGGTACTTGTGCTGAGCAAGAAAACTTAGCCACAATAGCTGGAATTGTACAGTAGGCTTACAGTAAACTGGAATGTATAAATTCATTGGCTTGATGCTTCCAACAGAGCTAAGTGCAATTAGATGATATTTTGGCTTAATGTGGGATACGGGAAACCTGTTGGAGTTACTGGCATAAACTGTATAGACTTGATGGGTCTACTATGAGTACATCTAGATCCAACTCTTGAAGAGATGTCATATAATGTTTAATCTATTGCTGTAATCTCTTCCATTTTCCTTTCCTTGAAGTCTCAATTCATTGCCTACTCCATTCTCTTTCAGCCTTACTAATGATTTCTCTGAACCTCAGCTTCCTACTGGGGTGGGGTTTTCAGCCTTGGCCTGACAGCAAATTTTTCTTTACCTCATCAGAACAAATCTCATCCATTCTACTGCTGAAACGAAGAGTCTATGAGCTGCTGGACATTACAGCATTTCAGCCAATCTGTGTCAATGGTGTGATTGCCACCAGGACAACGTGGCATGGATAACTGATTTCTGAGGCTAAATGAGGGAATGTCCTGTGCATGTCCAAATGTGAAAAATCACAAATGAAGATGCTTCTTGGGCCCAACTTATTTTGGGTCTTGATAGAGGCGCTGCTGTTTTACCTGCTCTCAGTCCCCCTCCTTCAAAATCCTATCATGGAAAAAGGAGGAGCTGCACAAATATGTAGAGGCCATCTGTTCAAAAGTTTTCATATGGAAAGTTGTAGGGGGCATATCAGCAATTGCCTGCCCAAAATGAAATCATACCTCACCTGCAGAAAACATTACATTTTGTTAGATTAAATTCCACAGCTTGGAAGGGAAAACCAATATGTAATGGTGTTGTTATTAGAGCATCTGTAGGCAAAAACAAGGTGTTGGACTACAACTCCATTATCCCAAGCAGCATGAGCAAGGAATATGGTAGAAGATGCTATACCCCCACCCTTTGGGGAGTGTTATAGGTTCCCCATATTAAAATGAGGTTAGAACCAAGAAAACCTTGGTTCAAATCCCCATTTAGCTCAACGGTAAGGTTGAGATAGTCCCAACTTTCAACCTAACTATCTCACAGGTTGTAGTGAGGATAAAACATACATTGCATATAGGTGTGTGTGTGTGTAAGAGAGAGGGCTCTTCCTCACAGCCATATTGAGAGGTCAATAATCTTATGGGTAAAACTGCCTTAAAAACATTCTGTGTTTTCAAGCCCTACCCTGGGGGGACTTGAAAAGGGTTGGAGGGGCAGGGAGGGAGAGACCTTGAGAGATTCACAATCCACCACCAGTCATGTTTTTCTGCCCTTCCCAGATGTCTGATTGTTTCAAAGTCTTTGGATGGTACAACCCACACAACTGACCCCTGAATCTGTTAGCCTTCCAGAACCTTTCAAGGAATAAACACATCTTAGGTTTTCTTGGCTTATCAACAGGAATATCAGTCTTCTGGAAGATCTGCAGCTGCTTTTCCATGAAGATGATATTCCCATGTCCAGGTTTCCCACTCCCCAAAAGAAGAAATAGACTGCAAGTGATTTTGTTTGCTTGTTCATTGAATTTCTAGGCTGCCTGATGCTGGGAGAGATTCTACAGGAGTCTCTCCCACAGCTGCTGTACCACCAAAATGGTTATGGAGGAGCAGAGCCCAGCACCTGGCTGCAAAGAGGTTTTGCTAGTTGGAGCCAAGAAGATCAGGCCCTCCAAAGGCTTTTCCTTCAGATGCCCTAGAATGACCACATGGGAGGTCTTCTTTCAGGATGTTGGGGTAAGCCCAACCTTTCTGTCAGGACACCTTGGATCAGTTTCAGCCTGCCTCAGCAGGAGGCTTGCAATGAGATGGACTCCACATCATGAGGAAGGTTCTCAGCAACAGCAAGCAGACATTGGATGAGCTAAGTCAAACAGACACACAAATTGCAGCTAACTGAACCATATTTTGTTTGGATTCACACAACACACTGAAGTGTACATTAACCACTAACCATAAAGGCAGAACAAATACTGAGCCACAAAATAACCAACCACGTTTTAGCCTAGCATGCTCTGGGCATGCAGCCATATATTCTTTTGAACTCCATGGAGAAAAGAAAAGAGAAGAAAGGATACAAACTAAATAAATAAGCACGTAGACTGATCTAAGATTCATACTTTTAAAGCTTGATTTCTCATGCTGTTAATTCAAATCACCCTTTGCTGTTGCTTAGCTGTATTTTGAGGATGACAAAATAACATTTCTTTTGCACTCACGCTACAGTTACATAAAACTATAAAACTACATAAAAGATTTATTTGATTGAATTAGGGACAGAACACATCCCTAATGTCCATTTTAGGGCACAGCAACCCATAGCTGGCTTTGTGTCATTCATGCCACGGTATGCACATCTGAATATTTACTTAGAACCAAAGAGATGGGTTATCACTTCCCCCATCATGTCTTCCTTGCGGGCTCCTCAGAAACATCTGAATCCTAGAATGGAGATGCTAGTTTGGGGCCTGATCCAGTGGGAGCTGAGGTTTTAGGCACTAGGAGAACCCAAGCATGGAGAAGTTTACCTTTTTCTGAAAACTATCCTGCTCATTCCCACTTTTGTCTGCCTCTGCTCCCAACCCTAGACCACCATCTTCCTAATATAATCTATTTCCTCAGGAGCTGTTTTGTCCTCTTCACACATTTATGACATTTAAAAAAAAAAAAGCAGGGATTTGATCACATGGTTGTGGCTGCCATCTTGACTTTTTTTAAACCCCATCCCCATCCCCAGGACACCCCTGACCCATCCAAGTAGAAAAGGTATTCTTTCTAAATTGGTTCATGCCTTCAAGCTCACATTGCAGGTATTTTGAGAAGCAGTGGTCAAGCACATATGTGATGCCTACACTGGAGATGTCAACTTATCCTTGGCTAGAGATTCCATTTTCACCCCAGACCTTCCATTGCTCCCAAATTGTCAAAAGGGGCTGAGCTGGCAAAACTGCTCAGGGACCAAATTTGATCCAGAGGTCTCTAGTTGGTGACCTCCAGTCTACATTCCTGTGGATCAGCTGCACACTATCTTCAAGGATGCAGCCTGAATCTCACCAACCTTTCCCACTCCTTTTCTGCCCCCATGGAGTAAGGTGACATTTTGTTGGGCGAACTGCTCAGCCTGCTCCTGGAATGACATAATGGATAAGAGAAGTGTTATCTCACTGCATCAAGGTAAGTTGAGAGCACCAGATTTCGGGGAATCCACCGGGCTTCCAATCCACCTTAAAAGATCTTCCTCCCCCTCCCTCTCTCCCTCTCTCAATTGCATCTCTCTGGGTCCCCTGGGCGTGAGGAAGGGAAAGAGAGGAGAGAAGATCTGTGCATTTTAGAAGTGGGGGGGAGAAGGAGGGGGGAGGCGGCTTTGGCTGGGAGATGCAGAGGAGAAGGAAGAGAGAAAAAAACAGGCGAGGGAGGAGTAAGAGAAGGGGAGCCTGAGAGGAAAAGGGGGGGAGAGAGAGGGAGGGGGGAGAGATCTGAGATAAGCAGGGAGGGTCCCCCCAAAACAAGAAGTGGGGAGAAAGCAGAGGGACTGAGGAAGACGGCAGAGAAGAGGCAGAAGGAGAGGTGAAAGAGTGAGAAAGAGGGGAAAGCAGAAAAGGAGGGGGGGAGAAAGACAGGTGGAGAAA